AGGTTCAAGGGGCTATTGAATTATGATCCTTGACTAAGTTTTGCATTTAAATTGACCATTAGTTCAATTGGAATCTCAGTTGAATATCATTGACTTATCGAGACATTCAGCAGCCGTTAAAATGCTTACACTCCACTCCATAAGTCAAGTTAAAGTTATTTTGGTCAGATATTTTATCAATTACTGAAACTGAAGGTCATACTACTCATACTTCATTACTTCAGGCTGAATTAATAATTTAAATATTATAATGTATTTTAATGTTTTGTAATAATTACACACACGATACAAGAGATTGTGAAGTCGATTAGATTAAAATATAATAATAATTTAATATTGATATTTATGATTGATACAATTCATATTATTTTTATAGTTGATCTCTTCGTTTTACAAGCTGATTTTCGTACAAAAATGCATGAGTTACGTAAGTAAACAAAACTATTTATTTATAATATTTATACTGTGCTTATGAATGATGTGTTATAATATTTAGTACAAAACATACACAAATTATTCATATAATTGAGTATATATTAATGATAACAAGTACAGTCATCTCTAGGTTGTTACAATGTGAATTCATACACTTAGATGATAGTGAAACTGATAATTTGCTTCGTCTTGATTTATATCTTTCGGCTTTAAACAAAAATATTTCTGGTGCGTGCTCCCATTAAGTGTCAATTATCAAGAGAAAAAAAATAGTATTAGAAATGCGTGGCAACGCCATTACATAATTTTTGTAACCTAGATACTTATCTTAGAAGTAATATGTAAAACATTGAACTTAAATTTATAGTATATGTTATTATGAGCCAATGTCACAGTGAATAATATTTCATATAATATTATGTTATACTATAGAGGCAACACGCAATGCTCTAGATGGTACGTTATATAATATTATTGCTAATAATCTATAATATTATAATTACATGTTTAAAATATACAGCATTTATAATTCATGGATATTTATTACCTCATATAATTATTGATTTATGAAATTGTAAAATTTAACATTGATGAAGTAACAATAAACATTATAACTTGAATTTAATTCAAATCATTTCAGTTCCACTGATAATATTTGTTGCCAATTATGCAGTGGAAAGTCCACGTGGTAGGTAGTTATTAAATTGGTTACAGAACAATAAATCACAAATCTCAAACTCTATATAAAATTTATAATTATATTATAATTTCTGCTCTACAATCTATGATTCATTAGTATAATTATATTCAACTAAAAATAAAAATGTTTTGCTAACTATTAATATTAAACTGTGATTTACTTTATTTTTTTTTAAAAGCGGAGTTTAGATCACCAATTGATTTTTGTAAATCAACCATAAATAATGTCACTTTTGGTAATAATTACTAGTTCAAAATATGTTAGTCCTACCACAAATTTAAGGATCATTAAAATAAATTTTGTATTTTCATATTAGACGGAGTGTTAAGTACTTCAAGACGATGAACAATAGTAGTACAAGGCATGTAATTAATTATATTAATAAAATAATCTTCATACATATATTAGGTATCTGATGAGTTCATAGACAATTAGCTTATGTTCGATTAAAAAGTATACATTTTCTTACCTGTTATATATTAGGTACTGATGTATAAAACGTGTTTCAATGAGAGCTATACCTACTGTGTTTGGTACCCAGTTTTTATGATTAAGTCCCTATGTTTAAAATAAATAAATTAATAATTTTTGTTATTTGTTGTGATTTATAGCACCTTGTAAGTTTGTAGGGTATAATATTTATTATGCCAACCTTTATTTCTAATAAATAATTACGGGTTATATTATGTAGAAAAAACATAATTATAAAGTCTATACACATTCGTAGATATTAATATTTTATTAAGAAAATATAAGAAAATTCCAACATTTTTAAAACCAAATATTAAAAATATCATTAGTACATTTAATTGTTAAGGAGTTACATATTTTGATTAAAAAACATTTAAAGACAATGAAAAATTCTTAAATCTCAAGTACTAAATTGAATTGCGATTTTGTTGGATCAATAAAAAAATTTTATCTGTTAAAACGGTTATAATACATACATTGTAACGTAGTAGGTACCTTTTATATATAAGTGCAATAAAACTATTCATTTTTAGTATAATATAATGTAGTTATTTAATACACCATTAAAAAAAACTCTATTAAATCAAACTGTTTTCTTATTTTTATTTTTAGATAAACTTTCAACTCCATCCATATATTGTATTAATGAAATCATATTGACACGATCAATTAATAAATGTATTATATTATTATACAACTTAACTAATTATGTAAGAATTATCTAAATGCACTTATAATAATGAAACACATTATATACTATAGTAAATAAGACTTTAAAAATTAAACATTACAAATGTCCAATGATTTTTCTAAATAATACATTTTTAAAAACAAAATATTATAACGTTTACAAGTTGGTACCGCTCTGCTCTGTATTAGGTGTGAAGTTTACCACTGTATGATATATGTTAGTTTAGTTTTAGTGATATCATATAATTGTATAAGAAAAATTATATTAATGGTAATGGCCTGTCCACTAACGATGTATTTCAAACAATGTTTTTTAATAACACTAAATAACGATTTGTCCATAATTTGAAATAATGGTTCAATAATAGTTGATCATTATTGAAGCAATATTTACATTTTTTTTATCGTTATCGTCCTTTTTGAATTAAACAATAAACTTTAAGTAATAATTTTAACATAAAAAAAAGGAATTGTAGTTTATCTTTTCTTTTTTCCAGATGAATAGTGCTTATCTTTTATCCTTATGTAGATAATTAAGCTATTAATCATACTTTATCTGAATCCAGATTAATTAAAACCAAGTATCTTATACCTTAATCGAGATACATTATATTCAGTTATATTTGCACAACACTGTGTACAATATTATTACCTATGATAAACAAAAACCTGTAGTTAAAAAATCAGCTGACATATACACGGTGATCCATCAAGTACGCTCACCCCCTTTTTTTCTTTGATAATGAAGTTTTTCAAAATCTGATTTTTATAATTTTTAAATATACACAAAGACCATATTATCCTATTCTTGAGATTTTTGTACCACTTAGGAGTATCCTGTGATACAAACTTTTGTTTTTCAAATATGAACCCACTTTTTTACTGTAAATTATTTAGTGGATATTTTTTTTGAGAATTTTTATGTATTGAAATCAAAATTCGAACGAATAGTTTTCTAGTTAATACATATTTTGTGCTAAGAATAATATAGTTTGTAATAGGTAAGAAGGATAATATGCTTTGCAGTATACGTTGTAATCTATACTCTACACATAAATACTCAATATAAAATAATACGTAATTTTATATTTATTTACTCAAACATTTAGGTAAATAGCAATTAAAATCATCCTTGATTTATTTAATTATTTTTCTTATTCCAAGTATAGAACTTTTTAAGCATATCCCTATTATGGACTATTATCCTTAGTACAAATCGTCCAATAACTAGGAAACCACTCGTTCGAATTTTATTTCGATATACATCAAAGTTCTCAAAAAAATTATCTGCCAAAAATTTAAAGAAAAAAGTGGGGTTCTCATATTTTGAAAAACAAAGGTCGTGTACATTGCCCGGTCAATGTGGTCCTGCCCGTGCAATGTCAACCAGGAATTTTTTTACAACCCACTAATATTATTTATTATTATTATTACCTATTTATAGTGTTGATTTTTTTTTAAAACAATCATTATTAATTTTATTCATGTATCATAATATAATAAACTATACATTTTTTGAAACACTGGGTATATACTTATTTTTGTTACTTATCGTACTGCCTATTTAAAAATCAAGAATAGAAAAGCAAACAGACTATGTAATTTCAAGTGCCATGCTTCTAAATCTTGTTCAAATAAATAGGTAACAATAAAATTATAATTTATTATACAAATAAAATGATATTACTTGTTATTTTTTTTTTTTTTTGTTATTCAATCAAAATATTCGTACTTCGTAATATTATGGTATATGAATAAAATTAATAATGATTGTATTTTAAAAAAATCAATACTATAAATAGGTAATAATAATAAAAAATAATATTAGTTGTTTAAAAAAAAATGTGTTTCTTACATTGCTAGGGCAGGACCACATTGACCGGGCAACGTATTCCACATTGCCCTTAACATATACAATTAATAGCGTACAGAATTATAATGAGAATTATAACTGAGAGAACGCGGTACATAAAATATGCCGTAATACCATCCACTACAACAATTTTAAGCTTACATAAATATTATTATATAAGCACAAACTATTTTTATAAGAATAATAAAATAGGGATAATGAAATAAGTGATAACATTATTATGATAAGTTACTTGTTATACTGAGGGGTGGAAAATTATTTAATTTGTTCCTTCGACCTTTGCATTTTAAAAACTACACCCGCTTTCAAAATATTTATTTGGTTGTAACTTTAAATATTTAAATAATAATGTATATAGGAGACTGTACTCGGCGTGATCTGTATTCTGTCGCAGTAATAAGTTACGACTAAATAAAACTATACCTACATAATGAGAACTATATTACAGGTACACAACATAATGATAAGTTTGTAGATTTGTGTGTGTCACATTACTTACGTATAACCACAGGCACACATTCAGTCTTAAACTTGGGAGTGCTAAAATGTTTTAGTCCAAAGTGACCCGGGGCCCACGCACCCTATACTGTTATACGTACCAAACATAAATTAATTTAATTTTAAAAAAAATCATAAATCACAACATTAAAAAAAAATCAAAGTAGTAAATCAACTTTTCAATAAGAATTATTTTTTCCAATAAATAATCTGTTAAATACTTTCCTTTAAATAATAAATCAATGAACTAAATAGTTTTACTAATCAACAAACTATATATTTATATCTAAAAGAATTACAAATTAAAAATAAATTATATTAAATCTAATCTTCTTGATTTTTTAGCAAACTTATTAATTATATCTTAATTTTGTAATCCGCTTGTTAGTTCTCTATTTGTTTTATTACATTTAAATATACTAAACATATTTAAACAAGTAATATTATGTCCATACACAAATTAAATATAAATTACTTTACACCACACTAGTAAATTGTTGGTATTATGTAGAAAAATAGAAAGAATAATAAAATAAAATTAGTCAATATCAGCTAGTATTGTCATTTGTCACTGACACGAGAACACGATCGAACAACTAATGGAATCAACTATCTTTGATTCATATTTCATGGTATTGAATTACTACTAAGAATAGACGGATGACGGTTGAAACATTCACAAACACGTTTCGGTTATTTTTTTCAAACTCAGAAATATCTGTCAGCGGTGTTGGAAACAAAATACCTTCTTCAAAACTATAAGAGGATTTATCCTCATGATCAGTATAATTTTTACCGACACTGCATTTATTTTCTCCAGCTACGACGCTACGTGTTTGTCAATATAGCCATAACATTGTTGGTATGTATTTTCAGGATTGATTATAGCCCGTTTGTCGACGAAAAAAGTAGTTCGTTTTGTATGTGAGGAACGTGACTACGGTGTATACTTGTAAGTTGTAAACACCCAGCAGTAAAACATCAAAAGATTGCAGAGCGAACCCATTTCGCAATTCGTTTCTTCTCCTGTTAATAATTTCTTAAGCGATTCGTCAACTATTGTATCGATATTTGATGGCTCGTACACTTCTCTAGCTGTAGTTGTAAATGTCCGATTTTCTGATGAGTTTTCAACGTTTGGGTGATAACTGATAATAAGTTATTCTAGTTTTAAATTAAATCTAATTGGCATACTATATTTATTAGTGGTTTCTAGTAATGCGGATTTTACGGACTCGAAGCACTCTGGATAATTCTGTTTATTATTCAGATTTTTATAGTAATACCTACCATACGACTTCAAGGTTGCAGTGTGTCGATTGAATTTGTATGAATCCTAATGTATTAACTTTTTGAAGCCTTACTTTTTTTGATTTCGTAGCGGTATATTATGTATTTTCTGTATGTTTACGTTTATTGTCTTAAATTGTAAATATATATAAATTATTTTTAAGTCTAAAATGACGTAAACAATAGAACCTATTATACATAACTTGATTCGAAGAGCCAGGCGGTATATTCTCCACATGAATATAATTGGCTATTTCAATCATTCTTGTCCGACCTAGAAGAAAAAAAAATGAAATATTTTCATAAAAATATAATGAAAACATCGTACTTTCAAATAAGCCGCTTTTAACCTGCAGTCCGACGCTTCTAGACATACATCGTCGTTGTCATCACCAAACCCGTTGTTGTCATCTATGATAAAAACATTTTCAATTAATATTAAGCTCAAAACATTTGCTATATACTTACTTTCACGCAATACATTTTTTTCGACCTTAAACACTACAATTCAAAAATCATAGGTGATTATCATCCGTTATATAAACTATTAAAATATTAAATTATATATATATATATATATACAAATCATACTTGTAGTTGTGATAGGCTGTGCATTACTGTTTAAAATATCTAAAATGGAACGATACTATACTATTATTTCAAACTTAAATTAAATGCGATATATTGCAACCTTGTACATAATATGTTTGTATAAGATAAACCCCTCAAAACGCTCACACCGCCTTTATTATATAACTATAGCATTCGAATAACGTTTATTTATTTATTATTATTATTATTATTATTATTATTATTATTATTATTATTATTATTATTATTATTATTATTATGTTAAGACTCTAATCGCAATAATATCATTTGCTTTAGTGTCATACATAGACATAATAATATATGGACTGCGCTTTCCTCACCTAAAGTCTATCATATCTGGTCGTCGAAATTGTTTGAGAGAGATGGCGATAGTTAGGGGCAGTCATGGAAGTAATACATCTATATTTTATACACCATGAATATATTTATTATTAATAGATGTATAATAATAGTATATTTGTTATTAATAGATGTATAATAATAGTAAATAATAAATAATATAGTATATTATTATTATTATTATGTCTATGATTATAATAGTCACTCTAAGCCTTTATCCTATCGACAATATCCACATATCTACGCGAACAAGCGATATATTATGTAATTATAAAATTTAAAATATATATTATAGTGTCATTTTACTTTAAAAATAATTATGAAAACTTGTTCTGTTAAAAATTGTAAAACAACAATAAAAAAAACTCGGCATTAAAATGCATAGGTACCTAGTTAAAATTCATTCTTCCTTTTGGATAATAACTATATTATTGTTCGATCGCGGAACGATATAATATATATAATCTCCTCGGAACACCCCAGGTGTGGAAAAAAGATAAGGTGTCCGACAAGCTCCCCCTCCGCTGTCCGCTGAAAGCTCGTTAGCCGATGGCCGAGCCGCTAGCCAGCCCGGCGTCGACGACATTTTTTTTGAGTCTCGTCTTTTCCCAACGGTTGAACTGAACACAACGTCGTGTCGTTCACCGTTCTGTTCGTGTCGCAGCCAAACCTCGTGTGATCACGAGGTGTGAATGATTTTTGTTTCTCAAGTGAACCTCACGATTGATTCACGTAAATAATCCAACCTCAAGTTAACGTAAAGATTCGCCAGCATTCGCGGTCATCGCCACAAATTGAGGGATCAGCTCGCCTGTTGCTGTCAGGTCAGATTGCCATCTTATTGTATCGGGTCCACTCGTGTTTAGTGGCCAATTAATTATTATTGTAACGGAACATAAGTATATGAATACATTGTTTCCATTATTATTATTTTACATATTATATTCGGCGACACTTGAGGTCGTTGTACTCAATGTCATATTTATATTATAAGCACACGTATTGTTTTTCGTGCTATTTATTATATTATATTTTATACCTTCATGTTTAGGGCGCCCGCATATTATCATTCAAATTAACTTTTTGTACCTACTATATTATAATTGTAATATATATAACTACTGTACGCTAGGCGTTGCAGCAAAATTATTATACTCGAACATAAATATTCTGTACATTTATAAGTTGGTCACCCGATCCTTTAGGATATCATCTGCGCAAGTTGCGGCAGAAAACTGCATGTTCGTAAGTTCTGTCGTAGCGACAACAATTATACTATATTATTATATTATACTTAAATATTTAGCATACCTAAAGGAAGTCTTGGTGAACAATGGAATCATCAGATCAAACAACATAATCCTGATTTTCAACCAACGAAATATAGTGTTATTTGTAGCAAGCATTTTATTGAATCAGCATATTATATAGGTGGAATTCATGGCAATCCAATATTGAAGAAAACCCTTACACCAAGTTTATTCAAGAAAAGTGAGTATTCTTCTTTTTATTTTAATATAATTAAAATAATAATAATATAATATATTTTTATATTAATATTATCTAATTACAGATGTTAATAAAAATTTCTTTCCTGTTGAAAGTATGGATATTATTGAAGTATTTGATGATAATTGTACTGAAGAAATTAGTAGTTCACTATCTTCCAATGATTTAAGTGCTAAATGTTTGTACCTATTTAAACTAATTTTTCATTACTATTTTTCAACATTTGCAACTATGTAATTAGTTTTATTAATTTAAGGTAATTTACCAGTAACAATCAGTTTAAATGAATCAAAAAATACAGAAACATTTCCTAATCTTAGTAATACACCAACGTGTACAAAAATAAGCTCCAATATTATTAACACCCCTATATCTGCAAAAAAAATAGGTATATGTGTATTTTTTAATATGTTTTATTATTTAATTTAAAAAAGTACTAATATGATGATATTATACAATATATATGTATATTTTACATGTTTTTAGGAAACGCAAATGTTTTGTGGGTGATTTCAAAGACATTGCTGAGATAGATAGTCCAAATAGTAGGCTAAAATATTGGATTGCTACTAAAAATGAACATGAAAAACATATAAAAAAAATTAAATCATTAAGAAAAGAAAATTATAGACTTGAACATAAAATAAAAACAATGAATAACTTGATAACTCATTTAAAAGATGAAAAAAGACTGATCTCAGATAATTGTTTTTCTGTACTTAAGGTTAGATTATTTTTTAATGTGATCTTTTATACTGTCTTGTGGTGCATGTTAAAAATAATATTAAAATTTTTTTTTTCGGTTGGTTGAGGAATAACCTGCGTTTATATAAACCAAGAACCCAGATGGTCACTTATCCGTGAGTCAGAAATACAAGATGGTGTTTGACTACAGCACATATTAGTGACTGCGGTCATTGATTAAATATACATTATTATAATATACCTATAAATTTTTCTGGAAATCGTCGTAACTCTTCGTATATTATATTGAATTGGCCCTTTTCTGCCCTTTTTTTCCCGTAGGGATGTACCGCAAACCTCCTGTTTAAAGTTGTCTCTCCTTCTTCTTCCAATGCCTCATTTATAGCAATTATTAGCGCTGGTGTAATTTTCGGCATAATGTAAACGGTAAACCTTGTCCTACGAACTGACTACTGCAAATGGTCGATCGATGAGTGGCTAATACTCTAATGTCTATTATTAATTTGTGCTATTCGAATGCGATACTGTAATATTTATACTATTGATACAATAATTATGGGATTTACCATTTTTTTTAGATATTGTACAAATATCCGCGGCGGAATACGCTCGACGGATACGCCTTGTATAGCTAGTCCGTCGGAAAACGCCGCGGAATACGCGGCGTACGAAACGCGGCGGAAAACGCCGTGTATAGCCCCGGCCTCAGCAGGTTTTATTGACTTTTTAGGGAATGACGAGTTTGAAGAATTGGTAAGTTTAATTACTTCGAAATTACTTAGAGAACTTAAGTCTTTATCATACAGACGGTGGTATTATAAATATAGCCGTCACTGGGTCACGGTGTTTTACAAAATAATAATACAATAATAATAGTGATACGACACAATACGACCGTGAGACGATATCAACACCACACAGATATTTTATCACGACGTGTTGGTTACTTCCTCTGCGACGACGACGCCTGCTTCACCACTTCACCAGCATAATATTATACACAACGACGGTGAAGAAAATAGGACGAATCAGCGGGAGTGGCGACTCTGTATCCTACTCGACAACACGTCAAAACGGTGTAGTACTCATATAACGCTAGCAATACGAATTATTAATGACGTAAATTAATGGGTACCGTATGATGTGAGCCGCACGCAGAAGCCCTGTGCCGTGGCACATAGGTGAAATGACAAAACGTGTCGACCGGTCACAGACTTGGACAACGAGCATCAAATGTCCGTCCGGACTTCCACAGAGGTGCACTTAACTGCGGAGTAATACGCACGAGCTTACGCCAATTCGGAGGTTCGCACCGCAGGTGAAGATAGAACCAACCGTCCGGTGAATCCAAAAAAAAAAGGAACGGTGGGCACTTGGAATCTGTACGGCGGCCTGAAGCAACACTTGCCGAACGTACGGCGAAACAACCGGCCGACGAGCGACAGCCTCGAAACTGACCTTGACGGACGACACCGCCTGCAGACACTAGTAGGATACAGAGACGCAGGGTCATCGGCGTCCGCCGGATGTCATCGTCGATGACTTAAAATTACTTATATATATATACATATCAGCAACTGATCTGGGCTTAGGTGTAGAGTGGGTGCTTGTTGTTTGTCGCGGGAACGGTGATAAGTGAATCGTGAACAATAATATATTAAATATTTTGTATTAAACCGCCCGAAGGCCTTTTTTATTACAACGATCAATGATCTTTAACAATACATTTCAAAGGTGTACATAAATATTAAATATTTTGGTAATATACACAAAAACGTGTTTGGGTAATCACCCCCAGTGGAGGGGCCCTAGTCTTAGTCTAATATTTATGCTTAGTAGGGCTCTCGCGGTAGTCGGCGTATAAACCGCCGTGAGGTAGACCCTGGCAGACTGGCACAGCCAGGTTAATGACGCGTGTTAAATTTAAATTACGTTAAATTACGTCATATGGTCTTCGGCGTTTGAGATGCCTTATATTTTGAGAGTTATCAAGTAGTTCAATTGCTGCTGGATTAGTGTGTTGATCTATCGTTATCTCGTGTTTTCGTGCAAACATAGTAATCTCATCCTGGACTGAAATCATCATCAAATCTCGGTGGATAACATCATTTCTGTCATACCGGTATGCTGCGACAATAGTGCAGAGAGCAATGTTTTGTCAGCTTTGAAAAATCTCAATATTGGAATGACTGGCACAACCCCACAGTTGTATTCCATAGGTCCAAATTGGTTTAATATAATTATCGATACGTACAAAAGACGTTTGTATGTATTAAATATAACAAATTTTATATATTTGTAGCTATCAAATACACCGAGACTGGTCTATTACAATAATTTATTGACTCATGAAGAAGAAAACATTTCTGCTGACGAGGTTAGTATGGCAAATTATAATATTATTTAGCACTTACATTACCGACGTTACATGCTGTTACAGACTAGAATCGAGCTCAAACGT